CCCCAAAACCCCAAAACCCCAAAACCCCAAAACCCCAAAACCCCTAGGAAATATATATAAATGAGCGAATTAGATAACTATAATATTAAAGATGAAATTTGTGATTCTTGCAGTACTTCTTGTAAGCACTGTCTTTGCTTACCAATCATATGCTCCAGGAGAGGGACCATTTGCTCACCTCACCCAGGAAGAGTTTGCCGCTAAATACCTCATGGCCATCAATGACTTTGACGGTCTTGAAGCTCCATACTTCGACGAAGCTGCCTTCGAGAAGGAAATGGGTGTTAACTCTCACTATGACATGAGGGAAGCTGTCCCACAATGTGTATCTGAGATCAGAGACCAAGCTGGATGCGGAGGATGCTGGGCATTTGCCATCACTTCTACCATCAGTGACAGAGAATGTATCGAATACGGAAAGAGTGGTACTACCCTCTACTCCCCACAACACCTCATTGACTGTGAAGACTACCGTTTCGGAGCCTCAGGATGCCAAGGAGCTGATACCCAAGCTGCTTTCGGATACACTGATGTTAAACAAGGTGGTGGACTCAGACTTGACACTTGCTACCCATACCAATCTGGTACCACCGGAAAGGCCAACTCCTGCAAATCTGACAAATGCACTGCTCTCGACGAAGAAGTAAGAGTGTTCTCATCCAAGAACACCCATCTCTGGAACGATTACGACAACGTTGCTATGGCTAAGGAAATCCAGGAGCACGGAACTATCTACATGTCCATGCAAGTCTATGATGGATTCATGAACTACAAGAGCGGTGTCTACATCATCCAGAAGGGAGAAAGATCTCTCGGAGGACATGCCATCAGAATCATTGGATGGGGAAAAGACGAGACTGCCGGATACTACTGGATCGCTGCCAACCAATGGAACACCGGCTTCGGAGAAGACGGTTACTTCAGAATCGGATTCAACCAATACATCGGATACAAGGCTGGAGCCGCTGATTTCGCAGGAGAAATTGATTCCTTTGTCGAGTTCCACTAATCTAACCTGATTAAAACTTAATCCAACTTTTGGTCTGATCTTTTCTATCTCTCAATTTAACGGAGAATTGGAGGGGTTTTGGGGTTTTGGGGTTTTGGGGTTTTGGGGTTTTGGGG